GACACTAAAATAGTAATTGTCAGTCCACAGCCAAACACAAAATTCATTTGGACTTCACGCTCCCACCACATTTAATAAATCATGAATAAATCATGAGTTTCAGTACACTGAAATTTAGGAGAATTTATTTTCTCCTAAATTCTTCTTGAGTCCTTTTGCTTTTCTTCAGTCCTACCATAGAAATTCTGGCTCAGGCACTCACTGTCTGTCTTTGGTTTCAGTAGCATTCATGCTATATTCGTGTTCCTTTTTACACAGCCTCCTCAAGCATATCCATAGCAAGCCTTCTAAGCTTTCAAAATTCAACTTTGAAAACAAATCTCAAGCAGAAGGAATCCACAAAGCAATCCCAGATGTTTTCAGAAGCAATGGAGAAGTATCTAGAGTCATCAGCTGATCTCCAGAGGATCTCCTGAACATCTCTGGTGAGCTGCCTTATTCCTCTCCCTTATACCACTGCCTTTTTGTAGGCTTGCATCTTCTCTCTCCCTCCAGATTACCAGTCACTTGGAATATATATACTGAATCCATTCACTCTATTTTCAATCCATTTTCCACGAAAGTCTTTAATAAATAAACTTGATTGTATCAGCCCTCAGTTTAAAATCTTATTTTATAGTTTTTTTTTTTTAATGGGTTCAGGAACACCTTAGCTTTTCTCTAGGACAGGCTTTATCTAGTACTCCTAGCCTTGGATTCTGATTCTCCTGTCCTCCATTGTTCCCTTCTTTTAAACTATATCAGAAGCCCAGTTTTCTGTGAATCTTCATGCTGATTCGTTCCTTTCTGAAGAGGTATAAATACTCTCATTCTATAATTCTCAAACTCCATTATATTTCAAGAACAACTCAAATGTAACTTCCACTGTGGAGCTCTTCCCTTCAACACAGGATGTACCGACTGCCATAGAATCATAAAGAACAACCAACACGGATAGCATTGTTCACCCTCCATTGCCTTATAGAATTACAATTAGACCATGGGCTGTTAAAAGCCAAGGACCATGATGTTTCTTATACTTTTATAGTGCATAGCAGTGTTTTAGCATTTTAAAAGTGTGTAACACACATTGTGGAATGAATTAATAAATGAATAGAAGAACAAATGAATAAAGATGACTGCAATCATAGGATTAAGAATAAATATGATTTGGTTAAAAGGAATAGAGCAAATAATAATAGAGTAAAAATGAGATTCATTAGTTGAGAGAATCCCCATGAGTGGTGAGAATCAAGACCAAGATAAAAGCAAATAGGCCAGAAAGAAGTTCATGCTTTCACCAGGTGAGAAAAAACAGTTGTGGGGTAGAAATATCAAGTTGATCACATAGAAAGGTTATAATATGTGACATACAAATACTTGGGGGAAAATAGCAAAATGTGAGACTAGAGAAAAGGAATGTGAAGAAATATGCCAAGTTATAGGCATGAAGCAATTGTAAAGAAACATGCAAGGGAGTCATAGAAAATGCCACAAGGACTACTTCAAGCCCAAGTTAAACTTTTTTGAAACTTGAGTGTGGGATAAAGGAAGACACTTCAGGACACCTGAATCACAGGAGTTTAATGTTGAGCCATTTTAAAAAAAGCAGCATAAGCCAATTTTGATTAGGATTTTTCAGGGAGTAATTTTTTCTATGTTTCTACTAAGATGCAAATTCATTTCTAGCCTTGGTTGGCATTCCTGTTTCCAGAAAAGGCCTGTGCAGAGTAAAAGTTGGCTTAATTCTTTCAAATTTATTTTTGATTAAAAGCTCACAATGTACAGAAAAGTTTCAATTACTGCACAAGAAAAGAAGGTTTTTATTTTCCTATACATTTTGATAGTAAATTAACAACTCAATATCACATGCCCCTAAAATATTTTAGAGTGCCGTGCTTGAAGATGAGGTCATCCTCCAATACAGTATTTAAAATCAGAAATTAGCAGTGGTAACCTTTTTTAAAAAATATTTTATTTATTTATTCATGAGAGACACAGAGAGAGGCAGAGACATAAGCAGAGGTAGAAGCAGGCTCCCTGCAGGGAGCCTGATGTGGGACTCCATCCTGGGACCCCTGAATCACAACCTGAGCCAAAGGCAGACACTCAACCACTGAACCACCCAGGCACTGCAGCATTGGTAAAATTTTTGCCATCCACTCCTCAGATCTATTCAAATTTTGATAAGTGCCCCAGTAATGTTCTCTCTGGAAAAAAAAAAAAGATCCATTCAGAATCATAGGCCTGGTAGTTGTTATATCTCTTTAATCTGCATTAATCTGCAGGAGTTCTTTAGGTTTTGTCTGTTTATGTATTTGACTTTCTAGATCTTGATGCTTTTGAGGATTTTTTTTTATGCTGTTTTGTAAAATGGACCTCAGCTTAGGTTTGTATGATGTTTGTTTGTATGATTGGATTCAGATTCTGCTTTCTTAGCAGGAAAATCATGATAGAGTTGCCAGCCTCTCATTGTTACTCTATCAAATGGTGGTATTTGTTCCATAACTTCATGAACACTTAATTAAGGTGATATAGTCCAGGATTCTCCAAGTAAAGTCATTTTTTCCCCTTTTGCAATTCATAAGTATTCTGTGACTTGCTGCTGTGTAACAGTATATTTTGTTCTTCATAAAATTTCCACATTTATTTTTTATTTATATCTGTATGCACTTATGGCTTATAATTTTATTAATAAGACCATCAGCATCAGCAATACCTGAGAACTTCTTAGAAATGCAAACAAATGCCGATGCCCACTTCCAGATTTACCTAATTCAAAACTGGTGGTGGAACCCAGTCACCTGAGTTTTAATTGTCCCTCTAGATGGTTGTGATACATGCAAAGGTTTAAGTATGACTGGAATGCTGGATCTCAATCCAGCACATTGAAATCCAGTATATTAAAAATCACCTGTAGGAACTTTTAAAAACTGCCAATTATTTAATCCTACCCCTAAAGATTAGATATAAATTGTTGTAGGATGGGCCCTCATTATCAGTTTTCTTGGTGTTTTTTTGTTTGTTTTTTGTTTTGTTTTGTTTTGTTTTGTTTCCTAAAATGATTCTAATGTGCAGCCAGGTTTTAAAACCACTGGAGAATTTTATCTGAGACAGTGGTTCTCAAACTTGGCTCCAGATTTCAATCATCTAGGGAGCTTTAAAAAGTACAAATGCCTGAGTCTTACCTATAGAGATTCTAATTTAATTAATCTTGGAATGCAGCATGAGCATCATAATTTAAAAATATTATAATCATCTGGAGAACTCACAAACCTGCTGATGCCCAGTACAGTGCAGACCACTCTCTATGCTAATTAAATTAGAACTCTATCTAAAAAAAAAAAAAAAAAGAACTCTAATATAGGTTCCAGTATCAGTAGTTTTAAAAATTCCTCCTAGTGGATTACAATGCATACTAAATTTGAGAACCAGAGCTCTAGTTCCTTCTACACCTTACAGTGGACTATTCCATAACAAGGCTACATAATAATAATAATAATAATAATAATAATAATAATAATAATAAATAAATAAATAAATAAAACTATCCCTTATTGAAGCTGTAATCTGTGCTAGCATAGTGTTAAGAACTCTCTCCAATTTGTGATAATTCTATACTATTCAGATGAGGAAATTGATACTGAAAGCAAAGAATTAATTTGGCCCAATTCACATGACCAATAAGTGGAAAATCAGATATTTGGACTTAGCCTCTGTGACTGCAGAACATTTGCTCAAAGCTCTTATACTCCATCTTCTCACTCCTTATGGGTGAATCTTGTCTTTTTTTTTTTTGTTGTTCATGAGAGACACAGAGAGAGAGAGACATAGGCAGAGGGAGAAGCAGGGTCCACACAGAGAGCCTGATGTAGGAATCGATCCTGGGTCCCCGGGATCATGCCCTGGACCAAAGGTGGCACTAAACCGCTGAGCCACCGGGGCTGCCCTGAATCTTGCCTTTTGTGAGCTCATTTATTTCATTTAACAAACATGCCTTGATTATAACAGGCATTGTACTAAGTTTCAGGCATGCAGAAATTTAAAAAATAATAATAAAATGCATAGAAGTCCTAGAAGTTCCTCTTTAAATGGGAGGAGTCCTGGATTGGGTGACATAGTACTTCTAATAGCACATTGTGACCCAGTAAGGAAGAATGGAATAAACAGATCATGATTTGGTGTCAGGCAGAAATTGGCTGAATCCTGCCTTTGCCAATATCTCTCTCATTTCTTCACTTATACATGGGAAGATAATAACTATTACCCAGATTTAGCCTATGAGATTTAAATGTTGAAAAATAGCTAATTTATCATACCTGGTATGTAGAAGATGCTTATCAAGTTAAATTAACATGGCTCAAAGTCTTCTTTTATGAAATTGCTTTCTCCCTGATGTAAGGTAGATAGGGACGGGAGCAACTGACATTTGGATAAACCTAAGCATCCTTTTCCGACCAGTGACATTGGTATCAGCTAAGAGATTGTTAGAAAGGCAGACTCATGAGTTCCACCCCAGATTCTGTAGTTCAACAAGAACCCCAGGTGATTTGTATGTGCAATTAAGTTTAAGCAAGTATCCAAGCAAATTCCTGATAGAATGAAACACATACTGGTTAAATTTTGATCAGAAATGCAGTGAGATTGGTGGTTGGGGATGGAGTGGTATTGGGGCCAGAGTTTAGAAAGATTTCAGAAAAGAAAATCTGAGCCTCAATTATAGAGTTAACCTAAAAGCCCGCCTTAAGCCACCATCTTCTTTTTCACAGAATCTGGCTACAGATTTTAGATTTGTTTTCTAATGATCAGGTTAATGATATTCCAGCCCAGTTTATCTGTGATTATTTAGTGACTCATGTTGACTGGTTACTGAGGGTTTTTCTTTAAACTTTTGAAGTTAAGTTGATGTTTGTTTTCAGGTTAGGACTTTGTTCTTTCCTCCCAAGATGAAGTGTTTGAGGAGGAAATGAACAGGTCAGGAACTTGTATCTCTAAGGTGGGAATAGTTTAGCAGTAACAGAGTGCACATCGTTACAGAAATTGTATACCATCCTGGGGCCATATCCTTGTGATAGAAAAGAAAATGTCATCCAGTCTCATGATAATGACTGTCATAAATAAGGGAAATGGAATGGCAAGGACAATTAACCCACACTCTTCATCATGGTAAGTGGTTCTTCTTGGTTAAGGCTGTTTTATGTCCATAGACTATCTTGTACACATTCAGGGTATACTCTACAGTGTTCGTAATTATGAAAATCCTACCACTGTGTTTGCAACTACTTGAAATTTTGATTTCTCTTCTTCCAATTACATCAGTTGCATTGTGAGTGCTTTTTTTTTTTTTTTTCTCAGATGGCATTAAAGGTTGCTCTTTGTACAACATTTGTGGGGGAAAAATGGGTTGTGGGGAAGAGGAAATGTCATCAGAGAAGAACTACAAAATAACACCATGAAAAAGATAGCATATTGTAAGAGGCGCTGATATGGTAGATGGTCCTTATTCAATGAAGAGTGAATCTAGGCCTAACGACCAGATGGCAGAGCTGAACACAGAAATTCCATATGTGTGATGGCAGCGAGGGACGGCCATTGACATACTTGCTTTTCCAGCCAAATGCCTCGGCAGATGCAGAGTTTTACACTTTAACATTGCAATATGGCACTAAAACCCAGGAGAAGAGTTAGATTCAAGATTGAAAACTGATTTAAAGTGGCAGAGTTTAAATCAGATCCTATCCTATCAGGGTAAAAGCTATGAACAGAAAGGAAGGAGGAGATTAACTCTCTTTCTACAATTGTGCTTTGGATCTGCTGGTCTTGTCAGGTTTTCTAAAGAGGAGTTAAGTCTGGTCATATTAGTTATAGGCTTCTTCGTATCCCCAAGCTCTTCTAAAAAAAATAAATAAATAAAATAAAATAAAAATCAAGTTTTAGAAATGGATTATTAAAGGAAAGCAGCATTAATGTGCTCTGCCTGGAGTCTGAAAGCTCATAATGTGAGTTATTCTCCACTTTGAATAAACTGCGAGATGCACTTGAAAATTAGATTTTCATTTAATTGCATTTTTCTGTGTGAGGCGCTAGAGGCAGCCATCTTTGTGGAAAAGGGATCGTGTCTGTGCTGTACTGCTCAGAAAGCCCTAAGAAAAATTGACTTTAAAAAAATTGAGAACACCCAAAGACTTTTACAGTTTTAATACATATTTCTTGGAATATTGACAAACATCAAAGTTCTTTGAAATTATTAAGCTATGGGCTAGAAAGTCATTTGCAACCTTTTTCCTTGGGTCTCAGTCATCTTCCTTAAATTGCCAAAGGCAGCCACAACAAATTCATTTCCCCAAACATATCCTAAGTTGATCACAGAAGTTTTACATGAATTTTCTCCATGTTCTTGGTGTGATGTGTTGTTCAAGGTTCACTAAAGGCACTAGTGTGAATCAGCTTTTGTCTGGTCTCAACTTGCTTTTGCCCTGAGACCTTTAATGGCCTGTTGAGAATAGGAAATGTCTTCTGTGCCCACAGCTTTCCCTTTTCAACCATTCTTTCTCTATTTTCTTTTATGAATCTTAGGATTCAGGTGTATAAAACTTCTGTCCATTCACTGGACCTACATGGTATTTACACATCTCTACATTTCTCTTCATGGTATTCCACTGAATATTACCCCTGGTCTTCTGTATTTTATTGTTTTCCAGTGGTTTGCTTTTTAACATGAATAAATGGTATCATGGTTTCTTGGAGGGCAGGAATCAAGACTTTAGTTCTTATTTTCTCATAGTGCCAGGGGCACTGTTTTTTTTTTTTTTATGATAGGCACACAGTGAGAGAGAGAGAGAGAGGCAGAGACACAGGCAGAGGGAGAAGCAGGCTCCATGCACCGGGAGCCTGACGTGGGATCCGATCCCGGGTCTCCAGGATCGCGCCCTGGGCCAAAGACAGGCGCTAAATCGCTGCGCCACCCAGGGATCCCCGGGGCACTGATATTTAATTAGTATTTATGGAATTGAATTAATGCTCATGAGACTAACTGGGTCCATATGGTGCTCTGGAGAAGAGAAGGGAAATGACAAGAAATTAAGATGAATTAGTGTGACTCGTTATGGCAGGGGGCAGTAGGTAGAGTGTGATGCCTACTATGTAGTGATGTGATGGTCATTACATTGTGCCCAGTTCAAACTCTGCCTCCTGCAAAGGCCATCTCTGATGACACTCTTATGACAACTCTGATGAGAATGAGATATTACTTCTGCTTTTTATAAGCTTCCAAAGTAAATGATTTAAGATAACAAGCAATAGTAGGAAGTGTGCTCATAGTTACAACAGTAATAATTAACATTTATGAACAGGTACTACATGCCAGATACTGCATTAATTATGCATTATCTCATTTAATCTTCCCCAAAATAGCTTAGATTTAAGGGATATATATATTAGGGAGATTATATAAACTGCCCAAGGCCCCAGATCTGGTAAATAATAGAACTGGGGAGTAAAGCTTGCTCTATTTAATTCTAAAACCCTAGTTTTAAGTGTTTTGGTATTATACAAAAATTATGATCATTGAACACTTTTAACCAAATTGTATTAGAGTCTTTTAAAGTTAATATTTACAGCCTGTCTTAGATTTAGGCTAATGTTCAAGGCCTTTCAAGTCACATGAACACAAATGTCCAGAACATGGCTTGAGCACATTCCAGTGTGCATTTGTTTTCATAAGCTGCTTTCCTTAAATTTTCATACCCAGTTACATACATTTGATTCTTACTGTCCTTTAAAACTCAACTCAGTATTCATATTCACATAGAAACTTCTTCTGACCTCTTTAGCCCAGAATGATCAGGTTACATGAGCAGCTTTAAATCTGGCTACCTCCCTCATTCTCCCCGGCTACTGCCCAGGCTCATGTTGCCATCATTTCTCACCAGACCACTACAAATACCCCTTAAATGGGCACTCTGTTTCCGTACTGTCTCTTTTCAATCTCATCTGTTACTTAGTTTTTTCCCCAAAATGATCTTTTCAAGCTATGTCATCTAATGTTCACCCATATTCTAGTGGCTTTCCACTGTTTTTAGGATAAAGACCTATGTCATTAACCTAGACTGTCCTAGCCTCTGAGTAATTTACTGGATTCAGCTGCCCTAGGCATAATCCTGCACTCTTTGTGCTCACAGTTGCTGGCCATCTTTCCTTGACTCCTCCCTGCTCTCCTCTCTGTCTCTCATCCTGAGAATCTATACAGGCTCTTTCTTCTCCCTGGATTTGCTCCATCTTTGACTAGCTTACTCAAGCATCCTTCAAATTTGGAATACATTGAGCATGAAGAGCCAGTGACCTTGAAGCCACATGCTAACTTTTGGCCAAATACTTAAGCTAGTGGTAATGCTGAAATTTTTTTCTAGCTTAAGTTAAATTAATTATCACTTTTAGTAAGTTGATCAATATTTTAGAAGGAGAACTGAGAGTTAGAAGCCTTCTCTTTTCTTGGAGGGATATGTAAATAGCAGGGCTCATGACATTAGAGTGCATTGCTTGATTCCTTATTCTATCTTCATACCAACATGTTGTAACATGTTGCTTACAACAATATCTGCTGTTGCAAGTACTCTTCTTACCATGTAACTTGACATTCCTCCTTTTTAGTGATAGAGTCTGTGATTCTGTTTCATTGATCGTGAGCAGAGTTCTGTTACCTCTTTAACCAATAGAGTATGATGGAAATAAAAGTGATGCTTTGTAACATTAAATCAATTAAACACCTATATTAGTTAAGCTTCAAAGCATGGCCTTACCTCATGAATAAATGTCACATACTTTTCTCTCACTCTTTTGGGACTTTTATTCTTGGAGTCCAGTTGTCATTTTTTGTAAACAGGCCCAGAGTAGAGTTATATGGAGAGGCCACAAGTAGAAGTTCCAGCTTGCAGCTTAGCTGAGGTCCCTTCTAATAGCCAGCATCAACTACCAATACATGAATAAGTGTACTGCCAAATGATTACAGCCTCCAACCATTGAACGATGACATCAACATACTGGAGCATAGATAAGTTGGCCCCACTGAGTCCTGCCTGAAGTCTTCACAGATTTGTAGTATAATAAAATGGTGACTTTTCATCATTTTTCGGGGGAGGGACCATTTTGTCATGCAGTGGCAGAAACTGTAACAACACCTAATTTTAATGTCGACCTCTAAATTAATTGTTCTTTTTTAATGGAGTCAAAATTGTAACACTTCTAAGGAATAGACCATGGGCCCAAAGACTAGCAATAGTGATTTCAGTAAGAAAGGTAATTCTTTTTTTTAGTATTACATGCTTCTTTAATATTTTTATTTCCCTTGTCTGTTGTGATTTTTCTATATTACCACAATATTAATACAGACCTAAAGCCAATTCCACTTTGGAAGTCTAAGCAGGCCCATGTTAGGGACCAGGAAAAAGAGGCATGGACTTTTTAATCTTTTTTTTTTTTTATTTTTTTATGATAGTCACACACAGAGAGAGAGGCAGAGACACAGGCAGAGAGAGAAGCAGGCTCCATGCACCGGGAGCCCGACGTGGGATTCGATCCCGGGTCTCCAGGATCGCGCCCTGGGCCAAAGGCAGGCGCCAAACCGCTGCGCCACCCAGGGATCCCTGGACTTTTTAATCTTAAATCAGCTTTGGCTTTAGGGAGAAAGGGTGATTCTCCTTCAGATGATTTTTCTTCTCCTTGCTTTCCATTTATCATAAAAATTTATCTTTAAACTCAGCTTTTCTTAGTTGGTTAACTAAAGTTAACTTTGTTTGGAGATTAAAACAGAATTATCAGTCAATATTGTCTTAATTTGGGCTGCTATAACAAAGTGTCATGGATTGGATGCCTTGTAGATGACAAATCTATATCTCATAGTTCATGGTCCCAGGGTTCTGGGATTAAGCCCCACATCGGGCTCCCTGCTCAGTAGGAGCTTGCTTCTTTCCCTGCTGATCCCTTTGCTTGTGTGCACTCTCTCTCTTTGAGAGAGAGAGAGCAAGTGCAAGTGGGAGGGGCAAAAGGAGAAGGGGAGAGAATTCCAAACAGATTCTGTGCTGAGTGCAGAGCGCAATGCAGGGGTTCAATCTCATGACCCTGAAATCACAACCTGAGCTAAAATCAGGAGTTGGATGCTTAACTGACTGCCACCCAGCCACTCCTGATCCCCAGTCATTTTAATTTTAATGGAACTGGCTTTTTAGACCAGTATATGTTTTAATTCTAGAATAATTTCATGTGTACATAAGAATATATGTTCTACAGAATACTTACTATATTTTAAACTCAGTAATTTTTATTGTTGTTTTATTAGGTCAATATTTAGTATGATTTACCAGTTTCCTTGTTCTTCTTGAATTCCTAGCCATCCACTTGGAATGATTTTTCTTCTGAAAAGCAAAAAACAAAACAGGGCACCTGGGTGAGTTGGTTAAGCATCTGTCTACCTTTGGCTCAGGTGAAGATCCCAGGACTCTGGGATCGAGTCATGCATTGGGCTCCGTGCTCAACAGGGAACCTGCTTCTCCCTCTCCCACTTCCCTTGCTTGCAGTCGCTCTCTGTCAAGTAAATAAATAAATAAATAAATAAACAAATAAATAAAATCTTAAAACAGAAACAAAAACAAAACAAAAAACTTCTATTTTCATAAGTTCAATTCTGAAGATCATTTTTTTTTCTTCAGTTTTTTTTTTAATCCCTATTTTTTAATGTTCTTCCCTATAGAAGGATAAGCTTTGCTAGATTTAGAATTTTAGTTTGGACATTATTTTCCTTTATTGCTTTAAAGGTATTTTCTTATATTTTTGCTTCTACTGTTTGTGTTGAAGTCAGATGTCAGCTTAATTGATGCTATTTGGAAAGGCCTTTTTAATCTGCTGATTTTAAGATTTTCTATTTGTTTATATTTTTAACAATTAAAATCTGCTGAGTTTTGTTGTTGATCTATATCTTGATTAAGGATTTTAGGATTTCTTGTGTGGGTGGCTTGTTGTCTTTAATCATGTTTCAAAGTCATTATCTGTTATATTCTATCTTTATATTACTTGTACATATCATTATATTACTTTTGCCCCATGTGCTCTCCTCCCTTTCTGGGACTCCAAGTAGAAATAAATAGGGCTTTCTTGCTACATTCTCCATGCATTTTTGTATTGTATTTTCAATCTATTTTTCTCTGTATTCTTTATTTTAGATATTATCTTCTGGTTCACTAATTGTCTCTTCAGCTATGTCCAATCTTTCATAAAACTCATTCCTTGTTTCTTCTTTCAGTTATTGCATTTTTTAGGTAGAGGATTTTATTTATGTATTTATTTATTATTAAATTTCCAGTTCCCTGAAAAAATTCTCCATCATTTCAGGGACATATATTATAAAGACATCACTGATAATTCTAATATATAGAGCATTTGAAAATGTTTTATTATAGTTTTTTCTTTCTTTTCTTTTTTGTAGAGAGGGGCAGAGGGAGAGAGAGGGAATTTTAAGCAAGCCCCAGAGCTCAGTGACATACTTGGCCTCACAACCCTCAGATCGTGACCTGAGCCAAAATCAAGAGTTGGATGCTTAACGAACTGAGCCACCCAGGTACCCCATTACATTATTTTTCTTTTCTTTTCTTTCTTTTTCTTTTTTTAAGATTATTTTATTTATTTGACAGAGAGAAAGAGAGTAAATGAGCACAAGCAGGAGAAGTGGCAGGCAGAGGCAGAGGCAGAGGGAGAAGCAGGCTCCCCCTTGAGCGGGGAGCCCAACGTGGGGCTCAATCCCAGAACCCTGGGATCATGAGCTGAGCCAAAGGCAGATGCTTTATGGACTGAGCCACCCAGGTGTCCCTATAGTTTTTTTTTTTCTGAATATAGTTCACATTTTATTTTTACATTTCCAAATGAGACTTACTGTTATTAATTGTATGCTGAAGATGGCATTAGGAAAAACATTTACAGTTATATTTGATACCTAAGATGATGCTTTTCTCCAAAGGTGATTTACCTTTGCTCTTGCTAGACACCAAGGAGTACTAGAAATCTGGGGCCGTTTTTGTCTAATTTGAGAAGATGAGTATATGAAACATGAGCTGCAGTCTTTGAAAGGACCTTACTATTTTGGGGCTCACACTTATTTTTTTGAAGCTGCTGTTTTGTGGGATCCCAATCAAAAGAGGAATCCTCACATTCTCATTGGAATGTTCTGGATATCAATATTTATATCCATATCTTCTCTGGACTGTCAAAAAAGTGTTCCTTTATTTCCTAGGTTCATCTCTGGAACCTACACTCACCTAAAGAAAAAGTATACACAAGTGCAGGAATCAAATTCCTTATCTGCTTTCATTGGTACCAGTTGAGAATTTCTCACAGTTTTGTTATCTGGTGCTTTTTGATTTTTACACACACATGCACACAAACCCCACATAAATACTACATATACATTTAAATTTTATCCAGTATTTCTAGTTGTAGTCACCTGGAACATTGATTTGAATTACCTAGTCTACTATTACTAGAAAGGAAAACCTTCCTTTTCCACTTTCCCAAATCTTTCTTATCCAATATATTGCATTCTCTAAAAATCAAAGACTCAATCTAAACTCTATAAGCATCCAAAGTAAATATCACTAAGTGTGCACATGCATTTCTTCCATTCATAGTAGATGAACCTCAGACCATGATATGATTCAAAGATTATTTACTCTAAGATTACACACTTATATAACAAATTTGCAATCTAGGTTTTTAGTCTAGGAAACATTAGAATAACAAGTTCAGTAGCAGAATGAGAAGTAGAGTGACTTTGCCAGAGTAAACATACAACTGCAACTTGAATTAATGGTTATCAAGGAAGAGTTAGTAAAAATTCAGGCTAATATAGCAATGAAAGGATGCCTATCTCAACACCATCTAAGAGCATTAATGTACAATAATAAATATATAATGAAAAAAAATAAATATATATATAATGTTTACATGCCCTGCAAAAAAACCCACATAAAATGTTGTTTGTGAGTTCTACCTTAAAAAGGTAGTGAGGTTTATGATGAATTTAGTATAAATTTCATTCTCATTTCTGAGTTCAGATTGGCAAATTTCAATTGTATTCATCTCTGTGAGCAACTCCTTTTATGATTGACATTGAAAAAAAAGAATTTGTTTTTCTTCCTCCAATTACTTTCTTACATTGCCAATAGAAAGTAATCCTTTTAAATTCATGTTTCTTTAGGTTGTAATAAAATTATTTATTTTCTATGTACAATGTTGTTATATTTTTCATCTTTAACTATTTTTTCAAGGCCATTTTTCACTTTATACTAGCTAGCACTGAGCTGTTTTCAGTACAGGGAGAGGAAACATAATATTGCTGATAAAGCAAATCTCTTTTTCTGCTGAGTCTTTTATCCATTTTGGCCAGTGGTACATATTGGAGTCTTTAAATTATTACTTTTCTGTTCATATAACCATGATGTATAACAAATTGGACATCAAGCTGAATGTATGTACTTCCTTACTAAATTTATTTATTTATTTTGACCACTAAACTAAACCAATCTAGTGCCTTATCTGACCTCATCTAAACTTCTGGAGAACTGGATGTATTTCTAAACAGTTGGGAATTTGGCCAAGAAACACCTTTTGGTCTGCTCTACCAAGCAAATTATATACACTTATAAATGGAAATGTGAAAGAAAAAAGAAAGGCAAGAATCATATTTGCAACCTTAGCATATTCTGGTAGCATAGACCACTAGTCATCCATGCATCAAGAAGTTGGCCTTAGCAATGGTGTGTCACCTTTTCTTCCTATTAAGAAAGGCTGATTTACTTGGGATTATATAAAAACTGTTGCAGAAGTACTGGGAATAATAGGGTAAAATATCACTCTAAAACTTTGAGAAAGACCCTTGAAATTTTTATTTTCCTCTTCCATTATGTAGAGTTTCAAAATGCTATTATTTTGAGAAAGAAGCAAATCTAAAATCCCAGTTAAAAATCTATGCATTTTAAAAAGTCTAATTAAATATATATAATCTCCACTTCCAACCCCTAAACAGTACATCATCTTAAAATATGCCTGCAGTTTAGGTTAGAAAGGTTGACAGTTTCAAAGTATCTACCATGAAGAATGACTGAGAATTGCCACTCGTATTTAGTGTCCAGGCATCAAAGATGCTAGTCACCTGCAATGTGTATAATAATAAATTCTGGGAAAAAGAAAATTCTGGTCTCCCAATGGAAACAAAACAAAACTTCCCAAAATATTAAGGGCAGAATAAGGTCTTTTGAGAGAAAGAAAGGAAGAAATTCCAGAATATGGAATCTATGGGGGAAAAGTGTAGGACCTGAAAGGTCTGGGATACTCAGGAGCTACAGAGATGGAACAAAAGGCCTGAGAGAGAACCCTGGACAAAAGGGCACTGAGGGCAAAGCATTTGCCTTCAGGGATGGTTTTATTCCCTGGAATGGGGGAGAAGGGATAAAAAATTTAGATTTCAAAAGGTCTTTCTGCCAAAAACAGAATTAAAGTTAGAGAATTTGTGAGATCTACGTAGAATTACTACTTATTGACAGTGGCTGTGAAAGTAAATTCTAATTCTGGATAGGCTCTTGGGGAAGTTTCTGCCTGCAGATAATTAGTTTTCTCTCAGTGCCACTAACTAATTATTTTATCCCAAAGGTAGGATATCCTTATCCTAAGGCACTGAGTCTGGTCCCTGGAACTCTTGGCACCAGAATTCTTTGAAATTCAAGGGCTTAAAAACATCATCTGGGGAGTATCTCTTCCAGCAATAGAAGACTAGATATTTTGGACTATGATTCCTGCTGAGAACAACTAAAAATGTTAAACAAAATATTAAGAGTAAGCCTGTAGGAAAACATTAAGGAACATCCAAGTTAGCAACAATTTTGGCAGCCAATATTTTGGAGAAAAATAAAACCCAGAAAGGTGAACTCTGCTTTTGACATTGCCTTTTCTCTCCAGTCATTTTCTTATTTCTAAAACTGAGTGGCTAAGGAAGCTGAACAGTATTTTCTGCAGGTTCATGGAGGCAAAAATTGAAGTTCAGGGACTCCTAAGTAGTTATTTGGGGAAATAACAGTTCCTGATATTTATTTATTTATTTATTTATTTATTTATCTATTCTATCTATCTATCTATCTATCTATCTATCTATCATCAGTTGGATTGAAAATATGTGAAATTACTGAATTTCAGATAGATTCCTCTTATTTGATCCTCTATTAAAATAAACATTCCCCTACGAATTCCCAGGGGTACAACCTCTTTCTCAGGTTAAACAGTGTTATTCTGAATGTTTTCATTCTGATTATTACTTAATTTTTTCACTTACTTTTCACTGTAAATTTTTAAAAGGATTTTATTTATTTATTTTATAGAGGGAGAGAGAGAGAGAGAGAGAGAGAGAGAGAGAACAAACAGAGGGAAGCAGCAGGCAGAGGGAGAGACAGACTCCCTGCTGAGCAGGGAGCCTGATGTGGGGATCAATCCCATGACCCTGTGATTGTGACCTGAGCTGAAGGCAGACACTTAATCCACTGAGCCACCCAGGCACCTCTTGCTGTAATTCATAGTGAACTAATATCTAGCCCGGTGCCCTCATAATATTCCTAAATTTCTTTGTTAATTTTTACAAAATGTTAAGCTTAATGGAAGCCAGTAATATTGTACTGTGGTTTCTTAATGGGTCTGGTAACCTGTACAAGACTGAGTTGGGGTGTTCAGATTGAGTAGAGGCCAAGAGTGCAGGCAGTGAAAGAATTCATACAAGGCAGAACAAAAGAGATAGAGTTTATTAAACATACTATAAGGGAGCAGCAGGCAGGACAGCAAAGGAGAGACTGCCAGGAGGTGGAGGTGAGGGGCTATAGTTACAGGATGAAATGAGCAAGTATGGGGGCATATGGAATTTTTTCTGTTTTGGTAATCTTAGGAACTGTGCCTGGTTGTAATCAGTCATTTAGGGCTTATAGCTATTTCAAGGTGGGTAGTAGCTTAATGAGCCTGGTCACTATGGGCCCTTTGACCTTGCTCAGATTTCCATTGCTCAAGTCTGTTGCCTAAAAGCAGCCTCTACACTGAGTACAACATCAACAAATGTTTCTTTAATTTTTAATTAGGTCATCCTTTGGTTCTCTTCTATACCACTTATTTGTCTCTGTAATTTATTCCAGAATGAGATACCATAGTTTCTTAAATTCTCTTACTCAACACACATTTATTAAATTCCTGCTATTTCCAGGCACTATGCAATTATCTGGATGTAGAAAACATGAAAGACAGAGAAATACTTCAAGGAACTCATAGCCTAGCAAAGAGATAAAACATATAAATATCACCTAGGAATAGAATTTTGAATTCCCTTGAGTGAAATAATTTTAAAAATACCCATTAAAATATGGTAGAAATCAATGCAAAGTGGTTCCCCTAGAGACAGAACATAAAACCTAGAAAACAGAATACATAAGTGATAAAAATGTGGTTTCCATACCAGGCCCCAAATAGAATAAATTATCAAATCATCAAAATCATAGTATTTTGAAGAAGTTATTCTAAAGAATTAAGAAGATTAAA